ATATGAAGCCAGATGGAGTTCAGTTGCAGCCTTGGCTTTCCTGATCTGATCCCTGCAGGCACGGACCAGTGCTGCGTACTCCTCCTTGGTGGTAATTCCAACCTTCCATCCTTTATAAGTCTGTCTTTTGAGGCATAGGAGGCTCCCTGCTGAGCCAAGGGGGTTGCTGTGCCCTTTTCCTACCCTTCCTCTGAGGTGGGATGGCCATCCCTTGTACTGTCAGGATCGCTTCCTTAAGGAGCAACCACTCCTCTTGGACTCCTCTTCCTGTCAAGTCGTGGTCCCTTCGGGCCTCAACAATGAGCCTCCTGAGCTTGTCAGAGTCAGCTTTCCTGAAGTCAAGGACTTCTATATTGCTGACTGACTTGCCAGCTTTGTGATGGGTGGTAAAGATGATCAGTTCGTGGTCACTATCAGCCAGCTTTCCATCGATTCTTAGGTCACTGACTAGGTCATCCCCTCTCATCGGCCCATAGACTTCTTGACTCAAGTAGAGCTAGTCCATGCACGTGAGCAAGTTTTGTGACTGATTGGATTTGGCTGAGTGCTCTTCCCATGAGATGTCTGGGTAGTTAAAGTCTCCCATGACAGCCATGCACTGAGAGCATGCAGCCTCAGCCCCTGGTGAATTCCTGGTCAAGCTCTTGTTTCTGGTTAGGAGGTCTGTAGTAGACTCCTACCATGATGTCCCCTGTGCCATGTTCCCCACGTATTTTAACCCAGACAGGCTGCAGTCATCCTTCCTGGGTGCCAATGTCAATTAACAGGGAGATGTAGCTATCCTTGACATAGAGAGCTACATCCCCACCCCTTTTATCTGCACAATTGTGCCTGTACAGGGTATAGCCATCTATACCTGTGGCCCAATCATAGGTGGAGTCCCACCAGGTCTGTTATCCCTATGATGTCGCAGAAAGATCTTCTGAGATTGTGAAAATGGCTTCGATGCAGTGGCATACTGTGGATCTCTGGCGCCTTCCATTTGCACCCCCGCCCCCATCCACAGCTGATTGCTGAGTGGACGGGGTGGGGTGGGCAGTCCCCCAATGGCCAATTGCTGAGCCTGGAAATGCTGGTGGCAAAACCGGAAGTGCCAGAGGTGAAACTGGAAGTACTGCTGGGGTACCAAGTACCCCTTGAGGGCCTAGCCAGCACCCCTCCCCCAGGCTGGCGCCCAGGGGCATCATCCTCCCCGCACCCCCGTCGATACGCCCCTGCTTGGATGTGATTTGGTTCTACTCTGCAGAGCTCCCAAAATGCTTTACAAAGCCCTTGGCCCTTGGACGGGATCTGGCCTGCAGAACCATTCCATCTGGCCAGCTGAAAGCCAGCTGGCTACTGGAAGTTGGGGGGCATGGCCAGTAGAGCGTGGCCAGCCACAGAATTTGGGGACCCTGGACCCCGGTGGACATTGCTAGCGGCAGTAGGGGAATAAGTGATGGCTGTGCAGACATGGTTCTTGCTTGCCCGCTCCCTCCCAATTCCCCTTCCAGCCAAGCTGCTGCCCATTCCTCCCCCACCCACACTGCCAACCCATGCTACCATCTAATTCCACCCCCCACCTGTGCTGCCACCTGATTCCCCTACCTGCACTGCCATTTGTTTCCCAAAATGTGCCACTGCCCAGCCCACACTGCTGCTCATCCATGGACCTATGCCACTGGCCCTGGACCTAGCCCCAACACAAATGCTGCTGGATCCATGGATCTGGCCTAGGAGGAATCCTCGCAGTTCAGATCTGGCCAAGCACCCAGGGTGAGTTCTGCTGGTGAACACCCAGTATGCCTCTGCAGTAGCAAAACTCCCCTAGCTTCTGGCAGGGACACAGAACCTGCAACAGGCAGAAGGGGCATAGAAACTCATGAACCTTCTACTGGATGCTGGGGCTTTGTCAGCAAGCCATTGGTGCTTTTCCATACTGTACTTTGTGCTCCAGTGACAAAGTTGCTGAAATGGAGCTGAGCAAAGACCCCAGGAGTACATGGAGATGCACGGGCTATGTCGCCCTGACAAGGGTGGCTGTTGCCTGCTTCTAGAACTTGTCCCCAGCAGAGCAAAATAAGCATAAACAAGGCTTGAGACCAAGGTCCTATTTATTCTTAGTGATTAAAAGATGCAATTTAACACTCAAATTGCATTCAAATGAATACGTGAATTGTGGGTAATACAGTTGTCGTTCATGGTGTTTAAATTGCTAACCCAAATGGCTCATGACCATGACAAGAGTTTCACTTCTGTTGGAGTGGGTTTTTGCAGCACTAAACCTGCTCTGACAGAGGTTAAATTCTTGTAATTTGTGATGGCCAAATGGTCAATGGCCGCCGGCCGTTAGGATTAGAAGTTTAAATGTATCTGGTTGTTAGACATCTAAATGCTCTTATAGGTATCAGAGTTGACTGTAGGTGCAGAATTGGATGCTGGTTCCTGGCTAAAATTTCCCTCATCTGCTACTGAGCTCTGTACCCACAGTTTGCAGCCGCACTCCACTTAAATGGCAGCTAGTCCAACTACCACTTGTGGTGGTACTCTATACCAATAATTTATGAAGTGCTTGGGACTGAAGAGTCTTATATGAATTAATACTGAATGACTTAGAGGTTCTGGGGGCTGTATTCTCCCCAGCATAGGATGCCAGGCCATTACTGTAAACTTTAATGGAAATTGCAGCTGTTTTGCAGAAGGGAAGTAGATCCCAACCCCCACTGTGAAATAAATATGCTAATTGGAGACTGGGATGAAATTTGTGTTCTGCCACTGGCTGTCTGAGTGCCTGGGGGCAAGTCACTTTTTCTGTGACTCAAGTTTCCTGTCTGTAACATAAGGATAATAGCCCATCCCAAGGGGACAGTGAGGATAAATGCATAAAGACTGTGAGGTGCTCAGATGCTAATATCCTACAATAGTCATTGCAGTGGCATTTCATTGCTCTTATAAACAGCCTTCCATACTAGAACCTGTTTGCCTAAGAGGGGAAAGGCTGGCCAGTACATCTGAAAAAATACTTTAATTTCCTCCAAGCAGCCAGTGGAGGTGGGATCAAAGAGGTGTCAAGAGACAAAGGTGGGACCAAGCTAGAGAAAGTTTGTCAAGCTGGCACTCCCAGGACAAAGCAACTTCGGAAGAAGTAAAATCTGCACATATTTGTTCCTTCCCTTCTCCCTGCCTGCCCCTTCTAGCTCCTCAGCAATGCATGTAGGGAAGCAAACCAGAACCTTGTTTTTATTATGCTGCTCCCAAGAAGACTGTGAAACCTTCCAGCCCTGGGGCTAGCTGCTGCATTTGTACTGAGCAGTGCCACTGTTTACAGATAAACAGAGCCGGCTCCATTCCATGCACTGTGTGCAAAGGATACCAATGATATGAACTGGTTTAGCATATCTCCTACCCATGCTGGCAGTGTTTGTGAGGTGGCCCTGGCAAAGGGAAGATTACAGTTTTGCTCAGTCTCACTTGATCCAAGGTCTCCATGCTCAGAAGCCTGTGGAAACCCATGAGGCACCTAAATAAGTAGCCCTCTGCAATGCTAGGGTTAGAGTCTGCCATCCTTGCTTAGCCTTAATCACACCTTACTCGGGGTCGGGGGAAGGAATTTTGCAGACATTTTGATTGTGTCCCAAAGATACAGAACAGGATGAAAGACTATGCATTATTACACCACCACAGGAGCAGCTCAGGGAAGGAATCCGGTCCCTCTTTACCTTTTGCTCCAGGCAGTAGTCATTTGCTGATGTACATCAGCAGCTCTTGATAACACCCTCTGTGTTGGTCCAGCTGAGCTGAAGGGGTGGCGAGTTTGTTGTCATCAATCCACTAAACACATCACAATCACATGTCTTCACTAGCCCTCTGAGCTACTTCCAAATCAGAGTAGGAAGGTTCACAATATAGACCACTGTGGCAACTTACTGAAGGAGCTTCTGGGTGAAAGAAACAGTAGTTCATCACTAGTTATGTTTAAAAGGTAAGAATTTCAGAGCCCAGCCGCTGTCCAGCATCAGCATAGTAAATTGCTTCTGGAAAATGTGTTTGAATATAAAATCCTGCTCACACCAGCAGTGTCACAATCCCAATGTGGAAAATGTATCCAGTTACCTAAACCACCCTGTCCTTACTATCCTATTTCTTAATCCATGCTGAAAACACTGGGGGATCAGAAAAAGTGTAAGCCAAGCATTTGAATGGCCATAGCGCAGAACTCACTGTATTTTTAAGAGAGGAAGTGGAAGCTGAGATTAAGCACTAGAACACCTGTGTCTTTTGACTTATTTCAGGTCAGAAAGTATTTGATCTACAGAAGCAGTCTGCCATTTTATTTCATGCTCACGATATACTTACATTTTAAACTATTCTGACTGACAAGTATAACTTCTGGAGGTTTTGTTTGGATCCTCACTTTAATACTTGATTGAGCTCTAACTCGAGGAAATTACTATGCTCAATGCAGGAGCAATTAAGAGACCTGTGCATGCTTTACCCCTCCAATATGATTAGTCACATGCATGCTCTGACTCATGTTCAGAAGTTGAGCATGGGAATCAGATGTTTAATTTATCTCATGCTGCTGAAGCCTAATGTGGCCCGATAAGGCACTATTGGAAGGAAGCTGGCATCACTGGAGTCAGAGGATATGGACACATGACATGTTTACTCTGGAGTATTCTCAGTTTATTCCAGAGCAAAAAACTGGATCAGACACATCACAAGGCATTCACTATGGTATAAATACTTCTCTTGGATGGAAAGTTACTTCTGAACACCTAAGCAAACCTGCTGGAGAGTAGGGGAATGCAGAAGATGCCACTGAGCACCAGAAGGAAGGGGATGCCAAAAGCAGGGATGGGGTGGGAGCAGAAGTCGTACCTGCTCAAAAAAAGCCCCCAGCTACTGGTGCCACAGTGTGGTCCATCTGCACAGGTTGTTGCTGCTAAAGCAGCAGCACAGTGTGTGTACAGCAGAGATAAATAGCCCTCTGCTGAGATAGGATTAGACTTTGCCACCCTTGCTCAGCCTCAGTCGCACCTTACTCTGTGGACAGGGGGAAGGGCTTGTGCTTCTTCTGGGGGAAAAGGGCCATCATTTTGGCTCCCCTACAAAGCAAGCATCCAGGACTGGTGCCTCACTTGCCCACATCGAGTTATGCTACATGTGTCTGCACCCCGAGTCCGCTCAGACAGAACTGCTGGGAGGAAGCTCACGCTGGTGGCATCTGAGTTAATTCTAATTCACTGCTTAGTGCAACCTCTTACTGAAGTCTCAGCTGGGCTTTGTTGTAAGTAGCTCATGGGGCTGAAGCCCCAGCTGGAACTGTATGGGCACTGCTCTGATGATGCACTGACTATTGCAATTCTAGATAGTAAGGGCAAGACAGCATTATAAGCAGCTGTTTATAGTCTGTGGATATAAACAGACATCATTAAATAAAACAGATCATCTGTGGTACGGTGTATCCCACCACAGCTAATACATTTAATTGGGCAAAATACATGTTGACCATTGTCCCGCATCAGACAAGGATCCAGGCCTGATTCTGCGGGACGATGGGTGACACGTTCCCTATACATCCTGGGGAATCTCCAGGGTGCATCTCTGTAAACAGGGAAAGTTGAGGTTCCCCACTTACACACACATGCCTTGGAGGTTGCCTGGGGCACATCTGTGTAAAAGGGGAAAGCCAGGCAGGTGCTTCTGGGGATTGAGGGGCCTGATCCTGCATGGCAATTGGGTCATGCAGGATCAGGCCCCTCAAGCCTCAGAAGCACGTGCCCAGCGTTCCTGGAGAGCATCGGCAACTTCAGGATGCCAGTGCTCTTGCACCATAAAGCAAACAGATATCTGCCTCAATAAAGTGGCAGAAAGTATTACCACCTTTGTTGCGCCAAAAATTCTGGGCATTTGTGGTGCAGCAAGGAGTATAGACATTGGTTTGCTTGGCCTTTGTGTTGCCATAACAGTGTTTATGACAGCATAAAGGCGATGTCTGTTTCCAACTTTTAGAACTCTGCCTGGAACAGAAGCTTAGCTGCCATACAAAACGCACCCTGCTGGCTAGCTGTTGGGGAAGCCAAGCTGTGGATAATGTGTATAATGGTAGAAAAACACTGGGCACCTCTGCTCATGATCTAGCTACACTCACACGGTTCTACAGCAAGAGTAGTATGCTTGAAATTTGCTCTTGCACATAATAAGATGCAGCAGCTGACTTCTGAAAAATGTCCTATAACGTATTGCTGCTGATCTGTGGATTTCCATCACCTTGCAGTCTAAGATAATTAATGTTGGATTGGGGCCTGAGGGTGCTAATATACAGCTGTAATTAATCATGTCAGGAAAATTGGCATGTATTTATATACTTTTTTGCTTGAATATCTCAAGTTTTCTACACACACACTTACACGTCCTTATCCACACTTTAATTGTACACTGACAGCCAGGTGGTATGAATTGGTGAGGCTTCTTTGAAGTCAGTGGAGCTCTGCATGTTTACATCAGCAGAGGATCTGGATCAAGAAGAGCTAAAATCACAGGATCTGATTATTGTCCTAATCAGCACTGCTATAAATTAGCAGTGATCCCACTGTACACAAGGTGAGGGCCTGGCTCATATGTCTCTTAATGCACAAAGGTAGTCCCTCACACTCTTACATTCCCTCACTTCTATGTTCCCTCAGTGTTACATTCTACTCTGTCCCCTTTCAGCAGCCTAATAACATACTTTCTTGGCCTTGCTAAATGGCAATTGTTCAATAGAAATCATCCCATTTAATATTTTCCTGGTGTTTTTCCTTTGAGAAAAACTTAAGTGTTTGTTTGTCCCTTGGGTCAATTTCCAGCTTTCATGTCTGTATGTTATAGTGGAGACATACACTATAATTGAATTGAAGATTTTCAGCTTTGGTCCTTAAGATGTGGATTTTTAATAATCAAATTATATTTAAAGTGGTAAACACAGATGCCACCTTTCCAGCTCATGGCATAATTTCCTGGATATTCCCCCTGGCTTGTACATGACTGTCAACCTAAATGTATGTCTGTGCCTGCTAGTAAAAATCCTTGAATTGGGAAGTTTTGTGGTTCTCACTAGAATTGTTTTCTACTGATAACAAATTATTAACCTCATATTTTTGTGCCCTTGGAGAGTCTTTTGGCCTTTGTTTGCATATTGGTTGAGCTGTCACTTAGAAGAGCTGTGTTGTATCCATCTACTCTTTTTCTTACAATGAAGTCAGTGACAATACCATCAAGGGGAGGTGAGAGAATACATCCTTGCTCAAATGCCATTGTCTTGTGTTACGCCATTTGCTCAATTGTTTGCTTTAACTGTGCATGCTGCAAATTGCTTTAGAATCTGATTGCTGTTAATTTTATTTGTTGGTATTCCATTACTCTTTAAGATTTTCTAGGGAAAACACAAAGGAGGCTGTTAAATACTTTCTTGAAGTAAATTAAGTTGATGCTTAGTAATTGTTGCTAGACAATGGTCTCTTTCATCACTGTTCTTGGATTAAAATGTGGTCACCACCTCCTCTTCCAGCTCACAGTCCAGTCTGCTTCTTCTTTAGCTTTTCCTCAACCACTTGTGATATTTTGCTGAAGATGATACTGAGCATGTTTACAGTCATTAATGTGTTTTAGGTAATGCACATTAAGTTTAGTACCTCCGGACATTTTTACATGTGATCCCGGGGCGAGGAGGAGGGGCTGCTCTAATTAAAGTGCCTCCACATTTCTTGTATCAGCATCCCCATACTTAAAATGGTAGTGGGGGTGCTTGAATAAAAGCTTGTTCAATGAGCTTTAGTTCAAGCGCCCTGCCACCATTTTTAAGTGGAGGATACTGACACATGAGATGCAGGAGGCTGCTGTGGCGCGGCTATTGTCCCGGTCCAGCAGACTTGATTAATCAAGTCTACTCCGACGCATTGAAATTCCAGTGCATTGGAGCAGCCTCGATGCTCATGTACAGACATCCTCTGTTGTAAGGTACTAGAAAAAAGAGCATTAGTTTATTTTAATGCACGTTAGCTAAAGAGCACAGGTTTTTTGTGACATTTTAATACACATTAAAATAGGCTAATGCACATTAAAGCATACATGTAGACATGCCCACTGTTACTGGAAAGAGTATAACACATCACAATTTACTGCAGTTACTTATGTCACATTTCTTTAATATTTGGACAAAAATGCCATTTTCTCCTTATTCTGGAAATCTTTCCGAATCACTGACTGTGTCAATAAGTTTAGTGACTTTATTCTTGCCTTTAGCATCAGTAGCTTTCAACATATCTCCTGAATGCTTGGTCTTCCAGGGAGTATTTCCCAGGGTTTAACTTTATCATTATATATTTCAATTCTTTGTCTATGATGTCACATTTTCTGCTGTCTAGTTAAGAAGGTTTAATTTATTTATCAAAATTTGTTGTTTTGACTTTATAAAACTTAAAAGGATTAGTGAGTCTAGAATCTCTTGTAGATTCTCCATCCTCTGTTCTTCTGTTGTGAGGCTAGGATAGTGCATGGTTGACAGCCCAGAGGCCATAGCAGAAGCACTCATGGCATGACCCTGTCAGGTTCCAACAAATCTGCAAATTTTGCTAAATACCTTGTCACAAGGACATGAAGAAGAAAAGGTTCTTCTGTTATTAAATTCTTTCTTTCTGTTTATTGTTAACAGGCCTTATGGAAGGTGTAATCATGTCAGTTAGAACCTGAGTTGCCAAGAAGCCATGCAGGGACACTACTGTGCAGGAATGCCAGATACTGCACCGTCATTTAGTACTTGTGTATGCAAGCACTAAATGACTGTGCAGCAGCAACTGCACAGTCAGCATCTCGTGTAGATGTGGCCACTTTGTGGTAACAGTCTGATCCTGGCCTGTAGTATGTAGCTGTGGGCATGTCTACACATGCATTAATGCACTTTAATTAATGTGCACTAAATCTAGTACCTCTGGGTGCCCATACACAAGTGTGGAGTTTGGTCTGACATGCTGGAATTCCAGAAGACTTGGAGAAGACGTCGGAGAAGACTTGGTTAATCTGCTTCAGGTGCTTGATGAATTGAGTCTGCTGGAGCATGACAATTACTGTGCTCCGACATCATCCTGTATCTCATGAATCAGTGTCCCCACACTTAAAAATGGCTGTGGGGGTGCTTTATCTAAGATCATCAAACAAAATTTAGTTCAAGTCCCCCCATTGCCATTTTTAAGCATGGGGTTGCTAATACATAAGACATGGTGGCACTTTAATTAGAATGGCTCTTGGAGCCGTTCTAATTAAAGCACCGCCCTTCCCCGTCCCTACCTGGAGCATGTGTAAAAGTGCCCTCCAGAGTGAGGTATTAGGAAAATGCACATTGTCCTTTCCTAATACGCATTAACTAAAGAGCATGGTTTTAAAGTGATGATTAATGTGCGTTTAGCCTATTTTAATGTGCATTAATTAAATAGCATGTTTTTTGCAGTGACATTTTAATGTTCATTAAAGTGCACAGGTAGATATGCCCAAACCATAGTAGCTTACCCCTCTTTCATTGAGGACTATATAGCCTTTGTTTACCTCCCACTTACTGTAGGGCAGGAATAGGCATACTGACACTTATCATGCTTCAGCTACTGTGTGGTAAGTCCACATCCTTTTTAACTCACTGCAATATGATCATTTTACTGTACTGCCAGCTGTCTGTACTTTCATAGAATCACAGAATCATAAAAAATTAGGTTGGGAAGGGACTTCAGCAGGTCATCTAGTCCAACCACCTGCTGAAAGCAGGACCAGCCCCAACTAGATTATCCTAGCCAAGGCTTTGTCTAGTCTGGTCTTGAAAACCTCCAAGGATGGAGACTCCACAACATCTCTGGGTAATCTATTCCAGTGTTTTACTACCCTCCTAGTAAGGAAACTGTATCTAATATCTAACCTAAACTTCCCTTGCTGCAACTTGAGACCATTTCTCCTTGTTCTGTCATCTGCCAGCACTGAGACCAGTCTAGCTTTTAGGAACCCCTGTTCAGATAGCTGAAGGCTGCTGTTAAATCCCACCTTAGTCTTCTTTTCTCCAGAATAATTAATCCCAGTGCCCTAAGCCTCTCCTCAGAAGTCATGTGCCCCAGCACCCTAACCATTCTCACTGCCCTCTGCTGGACTCTCTCCAACTTGTCCACATCCTTTTTGTAGTGGGGGGCCCAAAACGGAACACAGTACTCCAAATGGGGCCTCATCAGTGCCAAATAGAGGGGAATAATCTCTTCCCTCGACTTGCTGGCAAGAATCCTAATAATGCAGCCCAGTATGCCATTATCCTTCTTTGCAACAAGGGCACACTGTTAGCTCATATTCAGCTTAGTGTTCACTGTAACTCCCAGATCCTTTTTTGCAGAACTGCTTCTTAGCCAGTTGGTCCCCAGCCTGTACCAGTACATAGGACTGTTCTGTCCTAAGTGAAGGACTTTGCATTTGTCCTTATTGAACCTAATGAGATTTCTTTTGGTCCAATCCTCCAATTTGTTTAGGTCTCCCTGAATGCTAGTACTCCCCTCTAGTATGTCTACTACTCCCCCCAGCTTGCTGTCATCTGCAAATATACTGAGGGTGCACTCTGTGCCATCTTCCAGGTTGTTAATAAGGTTATTAAACAAAGCGGCCCCAGGACTGACCCCTGGGCACTCCACTTGATACTGGCTGCCTACTAGACAGCAAGCCATTGATTACTACCCTCTGAGCTTAATGATCCAGACAGTTTTCTATCTCCCTTACCGCCCATTCATCCAACCAATAATTCCTTAGCTTGCTTGCAAGAATGTTATGGGAAACCATATTAAAAGCCTTGCTAAAGTCAAGGTATATCACATCCATTGCTCTTCCACATCCACAGAGCCAGTCATCTTGTCATAGAAGGTAACCAGGTTGGTTAGACATGACTTGCTCTTGGTAAAACAATGCTGACTGTTCCTAATCACTTTGTTCTCCTCCAAGTGCATAGAAATGGATTCCTTGAGGGCCTGCTTCATGATTTTTCCAAGGACTGAGGTGAGGCTGACTGGTCTGTAATTGTTCAGATCCTCCTTCTTCCCTTTCTTAGAGATGGGCACTATATTTGCCATTTTCCAATCATCCAGGACCTCCCCTGACTGCCGCAAGTTTTCAAAGATAGTGGCCAGTGGCTCTGTAATCACATCAGCCAACTCCCTTAGCACCCTTGCGTGTATCATGTCTGGCCCCCTAATTTCATAGTTGTTAGGGGCTGGAAGGGGCCTTACAGATCATTGAGTCCAGCCCCCCTGCACATGGGCAAGAAAGACTGCTGGGATCAAATGATCCCAGCAAGATGGGTGTCGAGAAGTTTTTTGAAGATCACCAGGGTGGATGACTGTACCATTTCTGGGGGGAGACTGTTCCAAACCCTCAGCACTTGGCTTGTAAAGAAGTTTTTCCTTATGTCTAACCTGAAATGATCTTCAATCAGCTTGTTCTCATTATTTCTTGTCCTCCCCTGGGGCACCTTGGTGAATAAATGCTCCCCTAAACCCTGATGTATGCCCCAATATACTCATCGGCTGCAACCAAGTCCCCCCTGAGTCTTCTCTTCTGAGGCTGAACAGTTCGAAGTCCCTCAGTCTCTCCTCATACGTGTTGGTCTCCAGGCCTCTAATCATGTGTGTAGCCCTCCTCTGGACTCTCTTGAGCTTCTCCACATCCTTCTTGAAGTGTGGTGCCCAGAACTGGATGCAGTACTTCAGTAGTGGTCTCACCAACGCAGAGTAAAGGGTGGATGACATCCTTTGCCTTGCTTGAGATGCCTCAGTTGATGCACGCCAGTATTTGGCTAGCTCTGCTGGCTATAGCATTGCACTGGGGGCTCATGTTCATTTTGTTGTCATTTGTGACACTGAGGTCTTGTTCAGTTGTGTTACTGGAAAGCAGAGCACTGCCAAGCCTGTAAGTGTTGTGGGTTATTTCTCCCCAGATGGAGCACTTTACATTTCTCTGTATTAAATGACTTCAGGTTGAGGTCTACCCACTTCATGAGCCTGTCCAGGTCGGCCTGTATTGCCAGCCTATCTTCAAGCATGACAACGCTTCCCCATAGCTTGGTGCCATCAGTGAACTTTGCCAAATTGCTTGGAATACCTGAATCCAAATTGTTAATTAACATGTTGAAGAGTGCTGGTCCAAGTACTGACCCCTGAGGGATGCCACTGGTCACCCTCTGCCATGATGACTCAGTTTCGTCAATCAGTAGGGTTGTGTTAAGCTTAGGGTGCTGATTTGATTTGAAGGAGATTCAACCCCATTCGGTGGCCAAATCTCCAAATCCAAACTGAATCATGGGACCAATAAAAAGGTCTGAATCAATTCGAGGCTCTCTGAATCTTCAGAAAAGATTTGGCAAGCTTCGATGATTCAGGCAGTCCTCACTGGCTGCAGCAGGGAGCTGGAGCCAGGGTCCATGCCGGTAAATACGAGGCAGGGGAGGGGGGGGATAGAGCAGGGGGAAGGAGACCATGAGGGACCCAAGGCCCTTGCCCCTGCCTGCTCCCCCAGTCCCCCCATTGCTGCCCCCCCCAGCTCCCAGCACTTTGGGAAAAAAAACCCCTATTCACTGGGTGCTGCTGGGCAGGGGGGTGATCCCCACTGGCCCCCACTGCCCCACACTGTGTGGGGGGCCCTCCCATGAACCTCCTGAACCTCTCTGCTCTCCCAGCCCCCCAGCCTTGGTTGGTCTGCCCACCCAAGCTCCGGCCCTTTAAGAAAAAAAACCTGAACACCGCCCCCCACCGGGCTCACCAACTCCTGCAGTGGCCGTGGGGATTCAGGGGGCTCATGGAAGAGCCCCCCGTGTGGTGCAGGGCAGTGGGAGTTGGCCCCTGCCAGGCAGGAAATGGTGAGACCGGGGTGTTTTTTTTTTCTTAAAGGGCTGGAGCTGGGGTGGGCAGTGCAGCCATGGGGGGGCTGGGAGAGTGGGCAGGGTTCAGAGGGCTCATGCAGAGCCCCCCCACACAGCATGGGACAGTGGGGGCAGTGGAGATTTTTCCCCTGCCGGGCAGTACCCAGTGAGTCGGGGCTTTTTTTTTTTCAAAGGGAGCTGGGGTGGGCAGGGCAGCCATTGCTGGGGCTGGAAAAGCAGGTGAGGGATGGGGCCTGGGTGATTAAGAGATTCAGAGATTCAGCAGCAGCCAAATCTCTGAATCAGATTCAGCTGAATTGATTTGGGACAGTGATTTGAATCAACGAATCGAATCACTGTCCCCGGAATTTGCCGAATCCAAATATGAAGTGAATACTAGCCACTTTGCACAAGCCTATCAATCAGTACCCTTTAGGTCCTATCATGGAGCCAGTTACCTAGCCACCAGACGGTGAAGTATTTGAAGCCACATTTTTGCAGTTTGACCATAACAACATCCTGGGAGACCAGGTCAAACGCCTTTTTGAAGTCCAAGTATATAACATCAACCTTAGCTCCTCTATCCAGGTAGCATGTAACTTGATTGTAGAAGGAAATGAGGTTGGTATGGCACAACCTGCACGTGATGAAGCCATGTTGGCTACCCTTCAGTTAGCTTGTGTGAGATGGTTTCTTTGATGAATTTCTCTAGGATTTTACCATGGACTTGTATATGTCCAGCTTTTTAAAATAGTTTCTAAATTGTTCTTTCACTGCTGTTGGCTGCTCACTTCTTCTCCAAACTGTGCTGCCAGGTGCAGTAGTCTGCTTTGGAGGGGTAGGGGCTTTGGAGCAAGAGGGGGACTTATTTTTGGGCATGCTCCCACTGGTGCCAGGCTGGGGAGGAGCAAGGGCAAGGGCGTGGTGCCTGCAGAGATGCATCAGCATCCCTGTGGTGCTCATGTGTTTTGTTCCCTTACCCCAGCTGGTTTTGGCTCAGCAGTGCAGGCAGATAGCCTATGTGGGATCATCTACCAGCTCAAAATGATCCCAGACCATACTACCTGCTTGCTTCTGGGGTGCAGGTGCATGTGCGGATGGTGCCTAGTCTCCCTCTGCAGCAGGCAGAGGCACAGCAACAGGAGGAGTGGACTAAGCTGAACCACTTGCCTCTGTACCCTCTACCTCAACCTCCTCCTTCTGGGGAAGGAGACCTGGCTCTAGGGGAAACTTGAAGGGTGTGGAGCACAATCTCAGATGATTCTCCCTCCTTCCCCAGAATTTTCCTTGCTATGGCATTCAGATCCAGATCCAGATCCGACTCTTTGTGTGGCATGGGAAGTGAAAAGGGGGCAGAGGAGACTGTCATACTGGTGCTACTGCTTGTTGTTTTGGTGGTGGTGGTGGGGGTTATGGCTGGTGCTCTGGGAGGGGATGCAGACTCAGGCACAGGCAGTGGCACTGCTCCCCTCTCCTTGCTGCCTGCAGAACTGGAAGCCTCATCCCTGCTAGTTGTAGGAAAGAGGCTGTGTCTCAGTTTGTGGGGGGTGGAACTTACAACTCTCCCTCTACCCATTCTTCCACCCCTCCCTGAAGGCTTGCCAGCTGCTTTTCCAGCATGCTTCGTGGTGTGTTTCATAGTGTGTTTGCCTTGGTGTGCTGGAAAATCTGTGTGTTCTTCTGTAATGTAATCTGATTTATGTAATATATGTAAATAATTATATGTATGTGTATTTATGTAATGTATGTATATATTTGTAAACTCATGTAATAAATCAAATATATAAATATATGTAGCATGTGTTTCTGAATAAATTCTATATTATAATATGCAATGTATGCGGTGCTTCCCTGCACAGTGAATGGAATGCACACTGTGAGAAAGAGCACAGATTTCTTTTCTGGGGGAAAAGAATCAAAATAGACTAACAAGAACAAAAAGAGGATTTGGGGGAATGAATTGAAAGGAATGAATGAATATAATAATAATAGTAATAATAAAAGGTTATAGAAAGCAAAAGGTATTGATGAATCCCATTTGCTAGGAACAGGCTAGCAAGTAGGAAATGATAGCCTTTGTTGTCTGATGCTGCTGAGCTGCTGGAAGACACAGCTCAGTAACAGCCCCCAAGGCAGAAAGTAGCTCAGTTCAAACAACACTGCTTTTCATGCTGTTTTTCCATCCCTCCCCCAGAGCACTGGGATTGGAAGGGACCTCAGGGAAGGATCACAGTCACTGGCCAGCTACACAGTCAATATCAGAGCAGTCCTTTCCCCCTCTTCCCCCTCCCTCTCCTTACTTTCTGTTTCCCTGCAAGCAAGTCCAGCTTTGAAACATGAAACGTTTCGAAACTTTCAAAATATTTCGACTGCCCTCGTTTTCTTTTGAGGCTGTTTCAAAGCCTTTCATTTTGTTTTGATTTTGCTGTTTTGAGCTCAAAACAAGTTGAAACAGAGTCAAAATGAAACAGTTGGCAAAATTTCACCCAGCTCTACTTTCTACTGCATTGCAGTCTCATCTGCTAAGGAAGGCTCCCTCCATGCAGAAACTCAGAATTTCTTACAGTCTCCTCTGACTGACCCCAGATCCAGAAGGGCTAGAACCTAGTAACATGCTCCTATTACCACATGGGCGGGAGGGGATGATGGCAACCTTCTTGTGGTTCCCTCTGTTAAGTGTATTATATCTTAATACACGAACATATGCCATCAACCAGAAGTCCGAATATCTGTTTAGACCTCCTGGACACTTGGTGTTACTGAATGATGAGAAGGATGAAGAAAATCATTAACTCTGGGAGCACTATGGGGGATTACCATGCCATGTCTATTGAGGTGAGGGCGTAGACAGTATAAGTGAGAAGCAACTATGTGGCCTGGGCAAACATGGAACGTCTCATCTGCCCAACTCATCTTTAAAATTCCACAGTGTTCAGACTAATAGACCTACAGGAAAAACTCTGAGAATATATTAATTAAATATAGAAGGCCTATCTAGGGTGAAGTTCAAAATATTAAGTAAAATGTTGACTAAAAAGTGCATCAATATCATTGCCTTGCAAGAAACACTTTTCTGACAGTGCACCCAATAGGCTAAAAATCTTGGGTTTTCTATTCATAACTTGTCAATTCCACCCCAAACATGGACTGGCCACTTATGTGAGACATGGACTCAGAAATGAAGCTTTGGCCTTGAAGAGTGGCCAGTACATGATTGGAATCAAAATTCAGAATCTCAAGATACTCAAGATATATAAGCCCTGCTCACAGAGATGACTAGAACATACATTTCCAGTGGAGCAACATCTAGCATTGTATGTTGGTGACTTCAGTTGTCATCACACTTCATGGAAATATTTCACAAATGATGAAACACTGGTGTCCAGCTGATGGACTTGGCTACAGCTAATGGACTTTAGTTTGTCCATGATGTAAAATTAAGAGGAATGTTCTATTCAGTGTGATGGAAAAGATATTATAATCCTGACCTCTGTTTTGTCTCAACAGATGATAACAATACCCCATTACCAACCTCACAAGACATACTTAATATTTTTCCTACTTGCCAGCATTGTCCTATTATAACTCAAACTGGTATTACTGTACCCAATTATTAATGACCCTCCCCTCCCATGCTAGAATACTGATAAAACTGATTGGAGAACCTTCCATACTATTACAGAAACTAACGTCAATAGGATCCCACCAATCCCATCCCCCCAAAATTAGATTTATTAAATTAATTAAATCAACTACAGAGAGGTTTTAGAAGAGAATATATCCCCGGGTGGGATAATGTTTGTGAAAGGCTCTTAGAGAAATAAAATGAGAAAGAAGACCCAGCACAGGCATCTGAAAAGATCCACAGTCTTGACAAAGCCAGAGGGATAAATGGATAAGAATAGACAATGATCTGGGTTTTACTAATTCAAAGTACAAAAGTTGGAACCGTGAAGATTAGGTGGAGTAAATCCTCAGAATTTTAGTGCTTCGTCTATAACCTTGAATCAAATAGCTACCAACCTACTTAAGACCTCAAAGGTAGAAATAAACAAATGAAGAAGCCTGAGACTAAAATTAATCTGGAATGAAAATTTGCCTAACTGTCCAAACAGAGAACTTTCTAAATCTGTGGAGTTCATTGCTCTAACATCTACTAAAAAAAATATGGCAGCAGTAAAGATGGTATTCTGCTGGAATTTCTTTTAGAATTCGGCCCATATGGAAGAGGGTTGCTGGTGAAACTCCTCACAAACATCATAGACTCAGGTCACATCCCTAAACTTTGGAAAGAGACAAAAATTACTGCAGTTCTCAAGCTGGCAAAACCCCTGGATTATATGAAGAGTTTCAGGCCTATTTCCCTTCTGTACATGACTTTCAAACACTTTGAAAGAATGCTCTTGTCAAGAATTAGCCCTATTCAGGACCCCAGGCTTCCTGCAGACTAGGAGGGCTTTAGATTGGAGAGGAGCTGCTATGATCAAGTCCTTGCTGTCATCTCCCTTACTGAAGCGGCATTCCAATGAAAACAGAAGACCGGAGCAAACTTTATTGAGCTCACTTCAGCTTATGACACAATGGGCATGTCTACATGTTCATTAATGCACCATAATTACAGCACATTAAGTTTAACTAAACGTAATGAGCCGTAATTGGTGCTACTGTACATTAGCACAGATGAACACTTTTTAGGTTAATACACATTAGGCTAAATCTACTGCACATTAGAGAATAAGCATGGTTTTTGCCAGTCACACTAATGCACAGTAGAATTAGTCTTCTGCTCATTAAGCATCTCATGTATGGATGAAGCGCCCAGTATGGATAAGAGGTCTTATGGTTAAATTGATAATGGCTATTTGTGGCAGGGCACTCTTGGTGCCTGCCACTTTAAGACTGAAGCTAAGCAGCCAACAGGTGCTTGATTAAGGCAGCCATTTTTGATCTCTGGCTGCCTACATAAAGAGCTCAGTTCCCTGCTGGCTGGGAAGGCAGTAACATTGCCTGGCTGTGAGGCTTTGTGTATCATCTTGGAGGTAAGGGCAGGAGCTGTAGGGGATGGATTGGAGGCTCCTGGTCATGACCTAAAACTGCACCCTGCCAGAAGTGGGTGGCTTGGTGGGGCTCTCAGTGGTATGGGAGCCCCCAGGAAATGCCAGGCCAGTTATCACCCTGGTGAAAGGTGGGTAGGGATGCCTTAACCCTAGCCCTCACCTTTGGGTGGGTTGCGTGACACCGGAGGCAGTTGCAGCCAGGCATGGCTGTAGCCACATGAGCCCTGTGGGGTGCAAGACCCTGAGGAAGGAGAGTGGGGGCAAGGCACAGCTGCGGCCACCTGAGCTCTGTGGCGATGCAAGACCCAGAGAGGGAAAGCTGGGGCCAGGTATGGCGGCGGCCACCTGAGCCTGCTGGGGAGAAAAGCCCCGTGGCCCCAAGTGAAGTGGGCAGTGTGGAGCGCCATGTGAAGGGGACTGAGATGTGGAGCCCTGGGTGAGGGGGAGAGATGTGGAGCCCCGAGTGAAGGGGCAGAGATGAGTAGCCTTAAGTGAGGGGCAGTGTGGAGCCCTGAGTGGAGGGGGAAGAGATGAGCAGCCCCAAGTGGAGGGGGCAGAGTGGAGCCCCAAGTGAGGGGACTAGGCCCAGGTAGGTCTTCTGATGCCTAAGGCTGAAGTTTGGGCCAGTGGCCAAGTAAAGGGGGCTCAGCCCAGGAAAGAGAGGGGTGAGTCCTGACCCTGGTAAGCCCTCCACTGCTGGGAGGCCGAGTGTGGGTCAAAAGTAAGATCTTAAGTAGCACCACGACCTGCTGCTCCGGGGGGGAGTGAGAGTCCCCTGTGAGACCCTGGAGCACCAGTCGTGGTGTGAGATACCCTAGCTCCCACATCCAGGAAGGTGGACCTGAGAGAGAGTGTGGGGCTAGTGAGAGAGGCCAGAGGTAGAGTACCCCCTTGACTGATCAATGCTGGGGCCAAGACCAGGAAGGTCAAAAGGGCCAGGGACCCACCACAAGGGATACCCCAGAGCTGAGGGCCTGGGGGTCTTGCCTGGCTTTAGAGGTGAGGCCAGGGCCTGTGTGGCTGAAGGTCACAGGGGGACCACACCCAAGAAGGGAGATAGCTACAGGGAGCTCAGCAGCCTGAATGATGGCGGAGTAGGCTGCTTGAGCAGAGGGATCAAAAGGGGGGTCCTGATAGGAGGATTCTGGAGCCCAGTGTGGGGCTGGTGTGACTCATAGCTGGATGCCATCTGCAAGGCATGGGATGCAGTGTAGGGAAGGTTCGGAGCTGCAGATAGCGCCCCCTAGCATCAGAGCGTAAAATGGGCAGCCTCCCACTTAATTAACATCCTAATTAATAAGTACAAGGCGTGGCAGGAGAGTCAGGTGGGAGGCAATTGGGACACGTAGCACTGTGGTCAGGAGGGGAGCCCCACTTTGCCACGCTATTAAGCGCAAAAAGATTACTACAATTCTATTTAATATCTTGTCCAATTGCAAACTCAGAGTTTGCCTTCATGGTAAAATAAGCGGACCCAGATTTGCCAACAACAGTTTACCACAGGGCTCTTTTCTGGCACCCATACTCCTCAATTAGTACATACATGATATTCCCCACATAAAAATCAAGAAAATGTATTTATGCTGCTGTGACAGAAGGCAAACTCCCAGGCCTGGTCACAGTGCTGGCCTGCCCACCTGTCTTTAGGTACGCCGCCTGCTTTACTTTCCTGCCACACCTTGTTGTTAAATAATTCAGATGTTAATTAGGTGGGAGGCTGCCGTTCGAGTGCCTTGCTGTTCACAGGCAGTAAACACACAACTCCAACCTTCCCTTATCATGTCCCATGCCTCACAAGTGTTTCTGCCAGTTGTGCTACCCTCTGGCACGAGGCTGGGCCTAACTCAGCATAGTGTTAGGCCTCTCTCATGCTGCCCTGTTCAGGGCCTCACACATATTACCTCCCCTCTTACTAGGACCTCTACCACTCTGCCTGCTCTCACCAGGCCCCTCTCACTCATGCCCCTTACCGGGCCACATTTACCCTGCCCTGCTCCTTCAAGTTTGTCTCTGCTCTCCTTGGCTAGCCCTGGTGCAGCCTTTAGGGCCTCTCCCACAACCTTCATCTGTGCAGTGGCCAGGCAATTAACCAAACACTGAGCTAACTCTGCCCCTGGCCCCTCACTGGGTAACACATCCCACTGGTCTCCTAATTGGGGCCAGTGACTTGACCCTTTCACCCATGGCTCTTTCTATGCTGCCTCACTTGGCCTCAGGCCCACTTGTGGCCTCGGGTGCCTGAAGGCTTACCTGGGCCTCTCTGCCCCTTCCTCACAGGGCCTTAACCAACTCGACCCCTCTGCTGGGGCTCAACACACACTCAACCCCTCTGCTGGGGCTCCAGGGTCTTACACCCCATAGGCTCAGGAGCCTCCCATGGGCGTGTCTGCCTCACTACTGTCCAGGGTCTTACACTCGATGGGCTCAGGTACCACCCATAGGTGTGCCTGGCCCCACTCTCCTCCAACTATTATAACCCACCAGACTAGTGGGGGCTGGGGTTTTATGGCACCCCTCCTCACCTTTCACCAGGGCGGTAACTGGCTTGGCATTTCTTGAGGACTCCCTCACCACAGGGAGTCCCACCAGGACTCCCTTCTCTGGTAGGGTGCAATTTTCAGTCATACCCAGGAGAAGAGCCTCCTGCCATCCCCATAGTTCTTGCCCTTACCTCCAAGATGTTTCTTGGGCAGCAGTACAGCTGGGTGTTGCCAGCTGGCAGCAAACTGCTGCCCCAGCCCTGAGAGTCAAATGGCCGCCTCATCAGGGCTGGCCTGCACCTGTCTGCTGCCTGCTCTCTTCCTTAAAGTGGCAGGCACGAAAGGTACTCTGCCACCCACCATCCCCCTTAAAATAGCTCCTGGGGGAGGCTTTCCCCGCTGCTCACACAGCAAGCTCACTCAGAGCCTGCTACAGCCCTTAAGTGGCAAGCACCCTGCTGGTGCTCCGCCACAGTTGCTAATATCACCATCCTAGCACAGGACTCTGATTGTAGCATTATTGAAACTACACTCAGTAATTATTTGGCAAAATTAGAAGACTATTTTAATTAATGGGGTATTTGAAGTTTAACTCTGACAAAACAGTTTGTTCCTTTTTTCATTTCACTAACACCCAAGTGAATGCCTAAGGATCAACTTTTGTGGAAAACCGGGCAACTATGAACCCAACCCCAAATATTCAGGAGTTCATCTTGATTGCAATCTTATCTATAGGCATAATTTATGAATAACTAAGACCAAATGTGCCAAATGCAATAACATGATCTCAAAATTGCCTGGTATGAGTTAAGGAAGCAATGCTAAAGTTCTTAGAATATTGGCACTGACCTCCTTTTATTCAGTGGCTGAGTATTGTGCCCCAGTTTGGGGCAAGAGGGCACATACCAGCCTGACTGACTCTCAACTGAATAAAACAATAAGACTCATAATAGGTACTTGCAGATCCACTTCTGTTCTGTGACTGTCTGTTCTATCCCTTATCCCTCCTCCTGATCTTCAGTGTAAACAGGCTACTTCAAGAGTTTACAAAAAACGGCTTACATTCAATTCACTACCAATTTTTGAGGAACTTAATGACCCCCCTAAGCCAAGGCTTAAGTCAAGAAGGCCATTTTGGAGTGTGGGAAAAGAACTGAATGATGAAAACTTTGACATCAAGGAAAAATGGATCTAGCAATGGAACACAATCAACGTTAATAAATGTATCACAGACCCGACATCTAAACCTTCTGGCTTTGCTTTACCAAGGAGGAGCTGGACAACACTGATCAGGGTTTGTACTGGACAAGGTAGATAAAACTACCAACTACAGCAAAATCTCTGTTATCCCTGAGGTAAGGGGATTGCTGGTTATATAAAAATTCTGGTTATCTGAATACCCCAGCCAGGCCCAGCCAGCACCATGCAGTTCCCAGCTGGCAACTGTGTGGTGCTCCTGCTGCATTGTGCAGTCCTGGTGGCCCTGTGTGGTGCTGGAGCTGTGTGTCGGGAGTGGTGGGCCAGCAGGGAGTGACAGTGGCAGGTGGGGAAGGAAGGAAAGTGGCAGGGGAAAGGCAGTGGGAGCAGGCACAGGGAGGAAGTGGCAGTAGGCGGGGCCCTGGGGATCAGGGCTGGCAGCAGCAGAAGCAAACTGGGAACCGCGGGGCTGGGCTGACTCTTGCTGTGGTCTGCAGTTCCGGCGTTGCAGCCAGGAACAGCATACTGCCGGGAGGTGCCCAGCCATACCGCACTGTGCTGCGCCGCACCGTGCTGTGCCACACTGTGCCACTTGGCTCCTGGCTGCAACGCTGGGATCACAGAATACAGCAGGAGCCAGCCCAGCCCTGCGGTTCCCAGCTTGCTCCTGCTACCGCCTCTACCACGGTGCACTTGCAGCTCCTGCACTTGTAGTGGGGGAAATCCTGTGCTGAAGCCTGCTGCCTTCCCCACCCCTTGCTGCACAGGTCCCCAGACTCTGCCCAGACTGTGATCTATGGGAAGCCTGTGATAGCTGAAAGTGAGCGTAAACCTTTGGTAACTATAGCAAAGAAAGGGTTATCAGACATGCCACCCAAATTACAGAGATTTTTCTTTTAACTGCAAATGTATGATCTAGATATAAAGTACTTGCGAGGAAAACATCTACGTATTCCAGATATGTTGTCCAGAACATATGACACAATGGAAAATGACAGAATTCCAGACTCAGACATAGTACATGTTAAACTAATTAAAAGAGTGATTCCTGTCACAGATAAAATGTGGTCACTAATTGTAGAAGCTACTGCTCAGGACACCACATTGCAAAAAGTGATAACAGCTATTTGTGCTAGTTGGCCTGGAAAACAGATACTTAGGCCCTACTTTCAGT